TTCCTCCTTCTCCATTCTCAGCCTCTCCCCATGCCACCCTCCCCATGCCGACAGGATGCACTCGCTGCCGGCTTCGTGCTGTCCCTTCCAGTTGCCGCTACTGCTGTTCCTTGCACCTCCTCCCCCAGATAACATGCCACGGTCTAAGCCTTCCTTAAATGAAAAGAGACAGGGTTGCCCCACAGTTACACCAACCAGACCCTGGGAAGCTTTTTCCATGCAAGAGGTCGATGAAAGACATTTTTCTGACTTGTTCAAGCTTAATCTGACAAAGCAGAGTTCATGTGGAGCAGGGTCTTCCACCTCTTCAAATAACATAGGACTCGCTCTGCTGGCTTGGACCACAGGCCCAGCGCAGCTGCAGCCGTGTCCCATAGGGCACTTGATCCTTCCCAGGAGGGTTTTACAGGCTCCTTTACTGATAAATAGAGTATAACCTGCCTGCCAGGAGAGGTGTTTTTTGACACACCCCCCACCACCACCACCACCTCCCTGGACACACAGTCTGGCACACGAGCATTTGGGCCTTTCTAAAAAATGCTTTTGGCACATCAAGTGTCTGGAGGTCTTGTATTTCATGTATGTGTCAAGTCGAGCCTCTGATTCCTGCACATCAGGCCCCAGAGAGGAAGGTCAATCAGAGATGCTTTTTGGCTTTGATAAAGGCTGGTCTCAAAGACCCAGTGTCAGGAGAGTGAGATTTGCATGGAAGAATCTGCTACCCTGAGAATTGACTTGCTGCGCACAAGCTTTGGCGGGTGTCCCTCCAGCAATCCTTCCTGGGCTAGATATCTCCCATCCAGAACATAATTGCCCAGTGGTTCCTATGCAGCAGCTAGTGTAGATCATGAAGCAAAAGCAGTCCAGAGACTAAAACACAGGGCTGGCAACTCTTCTAATCATTGTTCTCCCACTAGTTTAGTATCCCCTTTAGTCACAAGATTGAAAGCCAGCCTACATGGGGGACAGTGCTGTGCAGAGGCTACCTCTGGAGGCTTGCCCTATGTGGACACACTCACTCTGAAATTAAAAGTGCAACTCCTTTTCAAGAGGGCTGAATCCTCACTGATGGTTAGTGCAGGACATACAGTGCACAGTAAATTCCCATAGCAGCTCAGTAAACTCCTGGTATGGAGAAATCCATAGTCATTTGCCACTTCATTTCTAACTTCATTGAAAGGCTTTCTGTGACTTCAAATTAAACAAGAATGTTTCTGGAGTTGTTTCTCCCTCTCCTGCCTGGCAGTTGTATAGGTCTGATGGAATTTCATGGGAAGGAGAATATCACTGTGTGCTTTTGTTTTTCTGGAGTAATTTCCATAAAGCATTATTATGTAAAGTCCTGTTGATTTTATGCCAGTGAAATTGTCAAGGACTTCATTATAGAAGTGTCCAAAAAAAGGTGTTAATAATACAGATCCAGCTCACAGATGGCTTTGGGATAGGCTAGCTAAGGCTTGTCAAGTTTTTCTCATGTGCTATACAGAGGCAGGTCCTGCAAGTGAGCTGTCTGAAATGTAATCCCCTCCTTGCGTGGCTGACACTTTGCTGCACACTCAGGGTGATCAGGTCTGATTCTCCCTGCTCACTCCTTTGTGTTTCCTATCCCAGTATTGTTCCTGTGTGGCATACTCATTCTCCCACAGAGTTAATCTCTGAATCCAGCAGATACAGTCTAGTTCTGTTGAATGAATGAGGGAGGGGAGAAGGTTTCTGTCCAATATATGCATCATGCATGTGAGGTAGCTGTTACGAGCTCTTTTTGGTGGTGGTGGTAACTATTTGGATTTTGATGCACAGAAAGGAAATGGGTGAAGGCAGACAGGGAGGCAAAAGACAGAAAGGTGGGTAGAGGTGTTGTATGGATACCTCAGCCAGCACCTCAACGTGTTGTCCCTTCTCTTCTCTACTGCACCCTCTTCAAGGGAAAACAGAGGTGTCGTGGCAGTTTCTTCAGCTCCACAGCTAGAGAAATAGCTGTTTTGCCTGCTGGTAAACTGGGAAGAAGGATTTTTCCTCCCCTCCCCAAGAGACTGCTATGCAAAACTTGTAGACTTGAGTGAGGAGAGCAAGTGGAAGAGAATGCTCCCCCAGACAGTGGGAATGAGGAGAACAGCTGACAGCTTGCCATGTGCAGCTTGCAGATCTCAGCAGTTTATGATGCTGTGGAACAGATTTTGAAGGAAAGGAGAAATAAAGCCAGGAGGTAAGGGAAAAATAGGGCAACATGTACCATCTTTTGATCAAAGGTCAATAGCTTTGTTGGGGTAAGATTCCCCACCCTCTAGGTAAAAGAAACATAGCAGACCTTATCTACCTGGACTTCAGTAAGGCATAGATATGGTGTCCCAGGAGAAGCAGATTAGTGGAGAAGATTCAGCTGAAGAAGACAGGGATTATTAGAGAAATCCTCAAGTGGGTAAGAGACTGACAGAATTGAGACAACAGTTCCCTAATAGGTTGAAGGGAAGTTATCTGTGAGGCTGCTCAAAGATTGCTCTTAGGACTGATCTTTTTAAATATTTGTGTTAATTACCTTGGCACTGAAAGTAGAAATGCTAATGAAATCTGCTGATGAACAAAGCTGGGAGGTATTGTCAGGACAGAGGTGGATTCCAGCACTAGGAGACCTGGAGGCTTTTTGTGACTGGAGTGATCGAGGTGAGGTTAAATGAAAGAGTGCAAAGTCACATGCTAGGAACTTGTTGCTCAGAGAGTAACAGGAATCTCTTTTAGCAACTGGGAGTTCCTAGTTGGCAGGACTGAGATGGGGAAAGTCCTGGGTGAAGGTCACCAAAGGAGGAGGAACCAGCAATGCTATGTGGGGGTGAAAAAGGCAAGTGAGCTTTCAGGACATAGCAGTATTTCCAGTTGCAGCGAGTGAGATTAATGCCGTCCAAGAGGACGCGAGACCCCTCCAGAATAGTGTGTGCAGTGCTGCTCACCCACGTTCAAGAAAGATATTCAGCCTGGAACAGGTGCAAAGAAAGGCAACGGGGTGATCAGAGGGACAGGGGGTGTCTCTTGGCCAAGAGTATGTTTATTTATCAGTCACAGAAGTGACTGCAGGGAGATGTTTGAGCTGATTTGAAAATAGATGCGGTACCAGCCTGAGTTTTCTGCATTAATTATTTTGCACTGAACTTCATGCTAGTGCAGCTACCCAAAGTAATTAAAACATGGTGTGATGTGCCTGCAGGGTGAATACTATAAGGGAGCTTAGTTACTTAGTCTGGCAGAACAAAGGTTAAGAGAGGAAAAATTTGCTGCCTATAAATACTTCTAGGAATTGGGGGTTGGGGAAGTAAGTGCTAGGGAGAGAGGAGAGCTACATAAGCTAAAGGACAATGTGGCACAAGAATAAATAGATATAAATTGGCTGTGAATGAATTTAGGTTGGAAATCAGAAGGTTTCTAAGCAACAGAGCAGGGAAGGAGGTGCTGGAACAGCATTCTAGTAGCACAAGTGAGGGCGGAAGCCTAATGAGATTTAGGACAGAGCTTAGTAAGTTTAGAAAAGGCCATTTGTTTTGTACTTGCCTGTTATTCAAAGGGATTGAACCTGATAAGCTAAGAGGTCCCTTTTTCATTCTATTTCCTGTACTTGCCTTATTGCCTTATCAGAGCTGCTCCCTTTCACACAGAAGCCAGGTAAATCCCGAATAGAGTTTGTGTGATGAGTTTTTCAGCATTGATCCCATGGATATTTAATGGAGGATTCATTCTGTGTCAGGGATTTAAACAAACAAAAAAAGCAAGCTAACTCAATGCGTAGAGAAGGTCTGCAAATATGCAGTAATATAGATGAGAGCTCACATATGAAAGAGCTTCTTCACATAAAACAGATGTTCTTGGAGCATCTGGCTTTGCTGGAAGGCTGTTTCAAATGCGGGTAGATGCTCTCCTGAGATTTGAGAACTTCAAGAGACTGTCTGAAGGGAAAATGTCTTGTACTTTCCTGCCATTACCGAGGACTTTGTGCTTGGGGAGGATATCAGATTTGTTGCATTGGGAAATTTCAGGAAAAAACACCACCCAACAACAGTTGAGATAGAAACTTCTCATACGTATTTCACCTCTGATGCCTGGCCACATCACTGCACTTATTCTGATTTGTCATATTGTCCCATGCTGGACAGGCACCTCTAGTACCTTCTCTAAAGCACCAATGGATGGTACCTTCCTGGTGAAACATTTTATCTAAAATCCCCATGTGTGAATATGATTGAAAGAGAAGGAGGGAGGGGGAAGTTCTCTGTTATACATTAGACCTCTGGAGACAGCTTGAAGGCATCCTCCAGCAGGAGGCAAATTCCCAAGGACAGGCTGGGACCAAGGGAACAGGATTAGCATGTGACAGTGGGCCCCTGAATGAGGGGGAACAGTTTTATAGTCACAGTTTCTTATTTAGTAAAAAATCCCAAATTATTCCATTATAGATGGATGTTGTCCCCTCCCCAGCCCAGAGTACCAAACCAGCACAGAGTGAGAAAAGAGGAACCAAGAAACTGCAAAGCGTGAAATGTCACTGTGTGTCAGTCTCATTTGCCAGTAACGTTTTCAGCAAGAAAAACTGGAAGAGGTTTTCATCTCACTGACGAGAAATGACCATCTATCCCAAAGTAAATGCTTAGCTGTCAGCTTTATTTTACTAGAAATAAAGCACAGCACTCTCACAGCTACTGCCTCCACTTTTCAACTCTGCAGCATCTCTGAGTAGTTGAGAAGTGCTTTGCAAATGATAATGTAATTACAGCTCCTATAAACACTCTCCTTGCTTTACAGGTGGAGGAAGCAAACCACAGGGAGCATAAAGGATTTGTCCAAAGGATCAGCAAGTCATTTTCAAGTGGAGTCCTCACCTGCTTAGCCACCAGACATTCATCTTGTCCTGTACACTTCCAGCTAGATGAATTGCTGCTTTACAAAAATATGTGTGTATACATATATACATGTATATGTTTCCCAAAGTGAGAAGAAAAGAAAGAACAGACCTTTACCTCTTTTTGCTGAGACTGCACAGGTAGAGGGAGGAGCAGGTGAAGTTGACTGAAGGGTGAGCTTTAGCACAGCCCCTTGGTCTTGCTGGAGCCCACCTCTCTGTCAGCGTTCGGCTCCCAGAAGAGATCCGTGTCTGAGGGAGAACACTCTGGATAGGGTAAGCAAACCCCAGTCAGCTCCCAGGAGCTCAGCCTCCTGCTATGGTCTGACACTGGCTCACCGGCTGGAGGTTGCCTCAAGCCTGGAGGACCGATGCTGGGGGAGACTCGCTCCCAAGCTGTTCCTGACATGCACTGGCAGCTGTCTGCCTGGTATTCTTTTAAAGAGTCTTCATGGATCAGGATAAAAATGTGATCTTACGCAGGCAGCATTGTAAGCACAACTTGGCTCAAGTTCAGCTCTTCCTCTGGCTCCCAGCTACTCTATTTTTATTGAAGGAATTTGAGGCTATCAGAAAGGAAGTCAAATTGTTTTAGGAAAACAATAGAAAAGCAACTTGAAGTTTATTAGCTTCCTGGCCAGGGCCTGGGACCAACTTGTCAAACTTATTAGAGCAATGGCAGAGCTATTTATTTAAAAGGGCTAGCGACAAGACTCAAAATTTTGTTCCTGTTTAGGCCTCAGTGGAAACAAAGGAAAGCCATAAAATAATATCTGAAAGGAGCAGATGGCTAAATGGTAAATGGTGCAAGTAAGGTTGGCCTGTGAGCCATTTGTGGTGTTCACCAGTGCAATGGCTTTCACGGGATTTTGTTACTGAATGAAAGCCAGGGCTTGCATTCATAGGCTAGCCCCATCAGCCCAAATTCCTTATAGTGGCTGGAATTTTCAAATGGAAGCCTCACACCTAAGATTACAAATTTGGCAGGAAAAGGTCTTCATTTAGAGCTACTGAAAGGAGCAAAACAATATGGTAGGGCTGCAGAAGAGCCAGGAATAGAGCCCAGGTGTCCCTGATCCTGTTGGACTGCTGGAGCCCCCCGACTGTAAAAAATATTTATATCCTTTAGAAGCAGCTGCAGTCTGCTTCCCCATTCAGCTACCCCAAAGTAGCAGTGCCGTTAAGTCACTAAAAACATGCTGGCATGCGGCTGGTGAGAAGAATGGACAGCCAAGCTATTAGACTCACAAGCAGAAAGTGTCTGTGCTGCCTGAGCCTTTCTAAGGAGTTTCATCATTTGCAAGGAAACAAGAAGAAAATAAAACAAGTAACTGAGAAGCATTTAAAACTCTGCTTAATGCAAAGCCATATCCCTTTTTCAGAGGGCTCTCTGCTAACCGAGAGTTTAACCTGCTTCCAGGGAGCATATAGGAAGAACTCACCTCTCCTTTCAACGGTGCAGTAGTAGTCTCTAGAAAGTCAGGCGCTGAGAGGAACTGAGCCCGCAGAGCTATGCACACAAGCTTTGAACAACTCAGTAACCACTTTTTAGATGAAAGGAAGAAGAGCCCACCTCAAAAATTCTCTTCCTTCTTCTCCTCATTAGCTTAACTAAAAGTGTGAATGCAAAGCTACAGTTTTCTCCGAGGCCTAGGGCAATAATGCATCTTGTACTGGCAAGTGGTAGAAGATCTTGGTTTATATGTTCCTTTTAATTTATCTGGGTTAGACGCTTATAAGAGGGTCAAAGTGAGTGCATGATCTCAGGAAGGGACTAAGAAACTGGGTCTTAAACTTGGTAGTTTTAATGTAAATGCAACAATCTTGGATTTATTTAAGGTATTCTTACAGCTTTTAGAAGGTTTCTCTAATTTCTGTCCGAGAGATTACCTTGGTAAACAAATCAGCCAAAGAAGCACACAGAGGAGTGCAGCATCCTAGTTCATTACAGTTCATAGGCGTTTACTTAATTTTAAGTACATTCTTGAGTTGCATTGATTTCAATGAGATTTAATAGCCTGGAAGTTAAGCACCCTACATTGCCAGCTAGGCCAGCTTTGCTGGGGGAATTCTGAGGCAGACAGCAGCTACTTCTCAATCGCCTCTGCTGTGAGGGATGCCACATGTAAGTCACATGATGGTGTTCTGGCAATGGAAAATATTTTATTTGCACTTATTTGGAATCTGTGTCATCTGGACGGGTATAACTTAATTTGCACTTTGTTCTAGTAAGTAGTGTTTCAACCCCAAATGTATGCTGTGAGAGTCTTTTTGTCAGTTGCTCAGGACTGTTGGACTCTCAGTAGTCCCTGAGGCTGGGATCCTGCAAAGACTTGGTCATGTGAGTAACTCAATATAGTTACGGCTTGGGGCCGTTCGTCCGCGTAAAGGTCCCTCTGTGTACAAATGTCATAGATGGGAAAAGGTTGTAGATTGTTGAAGCTCCTGTCTTTTCTACCAGGAGCCAACATGGTTGCTCAGAAACTTCTGGGATGACAGAGGTTACTAGCCAGCTGGACACATGGATGCTGGGGGACCTCTCACCCCAGAAGGCTGCGACATGCTGCCACGTGGTGTGGTTGCCAGTGCCAGCACCCAGTTCCTGGGACGTGCTGTCCCGTGGTGGGGTTAGGTAGCTGTGCTGCTGTGAGATCTCCCAGCTCTAAAGCTTGAGGCTTTAGAAAAAGGCTGCTTAAGCAATATTGCCAGTGTGGAGAGAATCCCAGGCACACGTCTCATCATAAAGCCAGCTAGTTTTGCTGTGGGGTAGAACCACATCAGCCTGTACTGTACATTCTTCACAGGGGGAAGAGAAATCAGGACTTGAATCTGCTCTGAAGGCCAAGATCTCTAGAGCTTTCCCTGAAAGTCAACTTCAAAGGAAGAAACAGTAAAAGGATTCGAGGAAAAAGAGACATGTACTTGGATGGTGGTGAGCGAAACTGAAAAGTAAACAGCCTGAGTTAGGGGAGGATTCTCAGATGGTGCTTATTGCTCCCAGCCAGCTTGTTCTCTTCTGTGATGGTCTGAAAGCATTTCAAGACATGACCTCCTGGGTAAAATTAAGAACTTAATTGCACAAATTTATGAGTAATGGTTCTTCCTACCAATTTTGTGATGTGTGTTCGCTGGATTCTGAAGCCTTCTGTGAACAATGCAAATTTCAGCAAATGGAGGAGGCAGGAGGACACTGCAGGCCCAAGCAGATTAGAAGGGTACATTTTATATTAGAAGACCAAATATCCACATGCTAAGCGTGCGTGTGCATGGGCACACACGTGCATAGAATAAAATTATATTTCTTTTGTTGGCAAGAGCTCACAAGCTAGACTAACGCCCAGCAACGTTGTGGTGCACGGCACGCAGGGAAGGTGCCTTCCGAGGGGCTTCCCTTTCCAAAGTGTGCCATGAGGTTGACTCCAGCAGTGCGAGGGAAGCAGGCAGCCCTGCCCCTTCATGCCGCACCTTCCGTGTGGCTGCATAAAGGCAAATAGGCTCACAGGGATGCATTAGGCACCTCTACTTGTCGGCCTCGTGTCCTGAGTATTTATTACAGGAAAGCTTGGAAAAGGTTTGTATCCAGTTTTGCTTTCTGGAAGGGTGAAGCAATTTCCAATTCAAATCTCCTTAATTGTGTTTCTGGACACCTGAGTTTCCTGGTAAAACGCCGTCTGCCCGACTTTTTCTGGCAGCCCCCCCTGCCCAGAAGAGGTGACAGCCTGCAGAGGAAACAGGTGTGCGCCTGAGTCACCTACAGCCTCAAAGGCAAGGACGTGAGTGCCCTGGCTTCTCTGCGGCAGCCAGCCGAGGCCATGCAGAGAGCCACGCTGGCTCTCCAGGTGGCCACGAGCAGTGCTCATGTTTAAAGCTATGAGGAGTGAGGAGGAGGCTAGGAAATTCTCTGAGCGCTGAAGCCCTGCCAATGGCCTAACATAGGCCTTTCCCCACCTAACTTCCCATTTAATTCCATTTAAATTCTCTCCCCTTGCTCCTCATACATAGTGCGATGCGCTCCGCTCCGCTCCTAACTGCCGACTGCTCTGTATAAATCCAGGCACTGCATTCTCACTGGGTCCTTTGCACGCTGTAGCTTCTTGTTTTTAACGCTAGCAGAGGCAAAGATGAAGTGTGATCATGGCACACCTAGCAGGAAACTACACGCAAAACTGCTAGCCTGTACCGAGATGTTTCATTTGTGGGTTGCTGTTTTTTTCATCTCTCTGATTTGGTGATTGACAGATGATATCAAAGTGGGCTTGCACTGTGTTAAGACCCGTGTATGAGCTCCTGCAGAAAGCTGGTGATAAAATCTGGCCAGTAAGTGATGTCAGACAGGATTGTGTTTGTTCGCTGATGTTTATTGTTTTCCTTAAGATGGTGGAAAAGGAAGAGATATTTAAACTTGATTGAAACAAGTTGAAGTAGCTATAAATTCATTGGTTTTGAGCTGTATTCAAATACGGATTTTGGCTTCTTGATGAGAAAACTGAAATTCATTTTCCTTAAAAACTAGCCCCTACCCCCAATTGAGATGTGATGAAAATAGCTATTAAAATAATAAGCAATTTTTTTTTCCTGGTTGGGGATGATGGGTTTTGGCTTTCTGTGTGTATGAGAAACAGAGATGCCTAAGCAATGCACATTAGTAGGATAGATGGTTTTTGCATGTGATACCCACATGGTACGATGTGGGGGCTTCCTATAATTATCCTATGTCTGTTGAAGGAGAAAAGTAAATTGGTTCTTTCAGACCAAGAAGAACCCAAGACTGAATTTTTGACAATGCACTCAGTATTTAGGAGTGTTGTCACCAAACCAGGGACACCACAGGATATTCCCACTGAAAAAGCACTTCAGAATATGAACTGCAGTGGTTAAAAGCCATGCAAGATTGCTCACAAGAAGCAGAGAATAGGGAAATGGGAAGCCTTGATGTTGTTTGCTGTTCCCACACTCTTTCCCCACTTTTCTCTCAGGCCAGCTTTGTGAAGAACCGCGTTTCCCTCTCAGGGAAAGTAACAATTTAACACAGCAGGGAAGAAAGAGGTTTTGCGATGTACTGCATGAAATGGTGCAGTATCACTCAACTAACATCTGGTAAAACACTCTTAAATAGCCTCATCTTCCTGCATCAGCATTTCTAACATCAATAATTCTATTGGTAATAATCAGTGAGGTCTGAGATTTGTTGGAGGAGGATGGATGGCTGCATTTGGGGAGAAAATCTAAAGGGCTTTGAAGTATACTGATAGAAAAATGCTGAGGCAACATCACAATTACTGAGCTGAGAAATCTGCACTGATTTGCAGTTCCCAAATTGTTTGGAAAACGTGAGGAACGCTGCCTTGAGAGTAGTTGCTGGTGCTTTAATGCCATTGGATTCCTAAGATCTGGAGAACTCCCCAAGCACCACAATCCAGGATAAATCTAAACCTGACTTAAATGTTTCTCCTGGAGCTCCTGTGGCTGCCCATACTGGTCACAGGAGGTGCTGTCTTTTGTGCTCCCTATAGCCCCATCCCAAAAACCTTTGAGAGGAGTTCTTCTCCCATTCCTATCTCATAGGTCTGGGCAAATCCAAGCCAGTCTTCCAGTCAAATTCTTTCCAGTCAAGGGGACAAAACTTTCCTTCCACCCGAGCAATCCTTTTCATTTTTCCTCCTCTGCTCAGAACTGTGTGATCATCCTT